GAGGAAGAGGGGGAATGTTTGAAAAGAGAGGTGAGAGGGGGAAGATGGGAGGAGGACTGAGGTGAGAGAGGGGGTAGATTGGGAGAGAAAGAAAAGGTAAACAGAAAGGAGAGGGGTTGGGGGATCATGTGGGTGAAAGTTGGAGGGGGAAGGAGATGGGAATAGATGGATAGGGAAAGAGAGATGAGATAAAGAGAGGGGAAGAGGGGGATTGGAGAAGGGGGGGGGGAGGTAGAGAGAGATACAGCCATGTACATATGGTTCTCCACATGTGACTGTGTTAACTTTATTAGTTAAACTGACGTATTCATATATGTAACAAGTTAGCTACCAAAGTAATTTGCCTAGTTGCAAGAATATCGATACCTTCCACTACACAGAGGACAGAAGAAAATGTATATATGCTGGTTAGCATTGTAAATGTGTGGCCACGTCTGTGGTAGAAAATAATAATAATAAAAAAAAAACTACCGATCGTAATAGACCTCTCGGTCTAGCCTATATATGTTTCAGATCAGAAAGCTTGCAATAGCATTACTCGGTTTTAGCGTTTAGATTAAAAGTCTAATGAACAAAGCCCCTTTCATAAATGTCATATAAATAAAAAAAAAAAATTCTAAGATGTGGACGAAGTACCCATCACTCAGGTTAAACGCCATTGGATCTGGTAAGGACTGGCTGGGTGATCGTGCAGTCTTGTCCTTGGACATGAGAGACCTCGATAAGCCTACCAGGCTTCCTGTGGCCAACAGTGGTAACTAGTATAACGGTAATCATTGGCTGAGCTATCATCAGTTTACGCTGAGGTGGTGAGTATTAGAGCTGAAGCACCGCGCGGAGGCTGGACCAGTTGTGTCCGGATCACGCGAGGCAGCGCTAGCGGAAACCATTGTAGAGGCCGCCGGCGCCACCCCCTGCCACCCGACCACCTCTGACCACCTCAGCCTCACCTGACCACCTCAGCCTCACCTGACCACCTCAGCCTCACCTGACCACCTCAGCCACCCCTGACCACCTCAGCCTCACCTGACCACCTCAGCCTGACCTAACCACCTCAGCCTGACCTGACCACCTCAGCCACCCCTGACCACCTCAGCCACCCCTAACCACCTCAGCCTCACCTGACCAAAGAGTCCATCGAGACACGTGCAAACTCGACGTCCATTCATCTTTCCGTTCTGTTTATTTTAATTTGACACAGTGTGTGTGTGTGTGTGTGTGTGTGTGTGTGTGTGTGTGTGTGTGTGTGTGTGTGTGTGTGTGTGTGTGTGTGTACGTGTGCGTGTGTGTGTGCGTGCGCGCGTGCGCGTATGTCCATTTTACATGGGAGCCCTGTTGTATATTTTTTTACTTCCATGCTCAGACCCCGTTACCTGTGCAGTCGTGTGACCTCGGCATCTATGACGTTGAAAACCTAGGAAATATCCGTGAAGGATAAACTTAATGGCTCTGGTCCCGCTCGCCATCATTGCTTACTCATGGTACAATGACTAGTCCGTTCCCAACGGGCTCACCATAGCCCGTGCTACTTGGAACTTTTTGTTCCAAGTAGCGAATCTTAAACAACAATAGTGCGTTCCCACTCATATATATCACGATATTTCCCCTACTGACTCTTTGAAAAGATCGCAAACAAATTTCAATGAATTAAAAGCTCTATGTGAATTGCAGTTATCCATTGAATTGTAAACAAAATTATTTTATAAACAGATTTAGAATGAAAACAAATTATATTTTATGGTGATTTTATGGTCTGCTTTGAGTTTCAAGTAACTTTTGAGTTTATAGTAACCTATCTTCATTCAGACGCAATATTCATAAGTATATACAAATAGTTATGTGAAAATGTATGATCACGAAGGTCAATTGGAACGAGGAATTGTTTGAGCTTTCGTGTCAAACAACACATCATCAAACTATCTTTATCACTGTAATCGTCTTCACTACTCGTTATCCTCATCAATCTGCACCCGGTCTTCCATACTGTTACTATCTTCACTACATTCTTTTCATCACTGTAACCATCTTCACTACAAACAACCATCTACACTGTAACTTAACTACGCACAACCATCACCGCAGTAAACATCTTAACTACACACGGTCTTCATCGCTACAACCATCTTTAGTACAAATACTCTTCTATACTGTAACCATCTAAATTACACAGACCATCCTCATGACTGTAATCATTTTCACTACATACTGCCTTCATCACTACATAACCATCTTGGCTACTGAGGCGCCGCTAGGTACCCCATCTGGAACCATGTACATCAAGCTGCCTTTTGATCCACACTAGGAAAGCAACTCCGTCACGTTAATGATAGGCTTTTCTAGATCTAATATATAATTTACTAAGCTGATCTAGAATGTAAACGAATAAATTCGCTATTTCTAATAACCACAACATTCATTGCATGCTCCTCAAGGACTGCAGATATGTTGCTTATAGTCTAAATAACGAATACTTGAATTCTGAACGACATGCAGCAGTTGGAGTGGAGTTTAGCAACCCGTCCTCCTAAAATGAAAGTACTTTTTGTAACTATGTGTCCAATCGTTTTAATAAGTAGTAAGGGAGCCCCAGTACCTTACCTTGAACCTTGAATTAAATTAAAAACAGTAAGTAAACCACTTTTTGTACTTTTTTTTATAGATTCCGGAAAAATCAAGCCAAAAATCAAACTTAAACATTCTTAGACCTAGTATAATATATCTATGTACTATATTAGGCCTTAGATAGTGTGTCTAGGAATTAGGATAGTGTCTAGGATAGTGTGTTATTTTAGGTTTAGGTCCTAACTACCTTTTATCTTGTCATTAGCAACATAAATATAAAAACGTTTCCGGTTTGTCCAAATTCAATGCTACAAGAGTCTACTATCTGCTTGTCCATTCACGACATATTGTACTTTCTAACACATAGTTACTATAAGTTCTTTCATTTTAGGATAATGGGTTGCTAAATTTCATTCCTGGTGTATGTGGTTCAGAATTAAAGTATTTGTTAGAGTTTAGACTATAAGCAACTAATATACATATATATATATATATATATATATATATATATATATATATATATATATATATATATATATATATATATATATATATATATATATATGACAATGTCAGACCACGGAGGAAAAATGAAACAGGAAATTTCCTTAAGTACTTTCGTATATTAAATACATCTTCAGAAGACCTTCTGAAGATGTATTTAATATACGAAAGTACTTAAGGAAATTTCCTGTTTCATTTTTCCTCCGTGGTCTGACATTGTCACATTCTTAATCACGTGTTTATTTTCGTGATATACACACACACATATATATATATATATATATATATATATATATATATATATATATATATATATATATATATATATATATATAATATATATATATATTTATATATATATACTCATTCCTCGAGGCACATCAATATGTTCTTGCAACATATAGCTAGTACACCAGAGCCAGTCTCTGGCACCCGCTCCATCACTGCCAGTATAAACAGTTCAAAATATGATGCAGTAGTAAGGTAATGATTTACGAATATCGTGATTGTGTAGTTTGAAATTAAACATTCCATAAAATGAATGTTGTGGATATTAGCAATAAGGAATTTATTCGATATTTTACATTCTAGTTCAGCGTAGTGCAAGTTTATATAGTTAGCTCTAGAAAAACCTGTCATCATTAGCGTGACGGAGTTGTTTTCCCTAGTGTGGATCAAAAGGCCACATGCAGTTGCTTTCAAGTGTCTTCATTTTGTAATTAGTGGAGTATTTCAACCATGATTAAGGGATCCATTTTAGGGTTACGAAAGGGTCTTCTCAGCTTGATAGAGAGTCTTTCCTAAGCGGTGAAAGGCCCAATTCTTTCCTAAAAGAAGACTCAGAATCTGATGGAGGGAGACCTACTAGTGTGATGAAAAGAGTGGGGATTTCCTACCTACTGTGATGACCTTGGATAGTCTCAGTTCAACAATGCGCGCCATGAACTATGAAAGAAATATAAATTTAGCAGTCGCGTTTATATTAAAATAACCTTTACAACTATATTGGGTTATCGTTGTTGTCGTCATTTCTGCTCTTTGTGTTTTCATTGTTTTAGATTACAGGTTGTACTATTATTATTCATGTATTTTAATTAATTACACAGTAAGGCTATGGAGAGTGTTCGACAATCCATCGGTGAAGGTATGACGCTTCTAGCCCCTGAAGGTCCTGTTGTGTCAGGTGTTGAAGTAGTGCTGAGCTCGACTGCTTTTACGCCCACTGTGAGTGCTCAGCTGTGCTATCACAGCCATCTATACCTGGAGACTGTTGCTACCTGTCGAGCCACTCTTGTAATGGCATATGGGCTGGACGTAGGCTGTGTTATTTATAATAATCTGTGAATGGTGGGCTGGGCGGGTCTGTATTTCCCTCGGCCAGGGCCTCGAGTGTAAAGGTTTTCGTTAGTTTTCTCATATTTTCGTCTCGAAGTTTTTCTTGTATTATCAGATTAGCTTCATATTTTATTAGCTGTTGTAGTGGCCTGTTGTAACGATGTATTCTATTAGACGTATTCATAATGTATTACATCTTGGAAGATATGGTCATGAGTGGTAATGTGGATTTAACATTATTCCAGTTTCTCGAGAGTTTCAACGAGCTTATGGTCGGAAATCTGCAGTTATTTGTGAATAAATCGCCAGTATTGTTATCTTGAGTCAAGATAAATCATTTAGAGCTCTTCATAAAAATCAAGATTTAATGTGTGCACCCTTTAACTGTGTCTTATATCCAAAGAACGTGCTCTCTGCACTGTACTCTGTGTTGTGTTTTTTAATCTAAATATCCTTGCGTACTGGGGAAGTTCTACTGGGGAATTGTGTTTTGTAGCGGTGAAGGAAATGTTATGTGGTGAGAGGGAGGGAGAGAGGTGAGAGAGAGGGAGGGGGAGTGAGAGGGAGGGAGGGGGAGTGAGAGGGAGGGAGGTGAGAGGAGGCAGGTAGTGTGAGGAGGGGGGTGAGAGGGAGGTGAGAGAAGGGAGGTAGTGAGAGGCCAGCATGTGCCTCACTCCTCAGTAGTGCTCAGGCCTTCACCCGCTCCTGCCACACAACTCTCCTCCACTACTCCTCCACACACATACAGCGGTAGGTGTGTGTAGTGCTTGCTTTGGGTGTTTCTATTTCTCCATTGTTGGTCTCTATATATATCTAAGGCCTACCTTGTGTAGCTTTCGGGGATCAATGGGTGCCCGGCCCAGTCTCCGACCAGGCCTCCCGGTTCTGCTGATAGCTTTTACTATCATTGTTAGGTCTGCAGTTTGTGATTGTTATCTAGCAATAGATTTGATTTGTAAGATATACATAGGCAGTTAAGAATATTCTCTACTGCATGCAAGATGCATTATCTTTTGCATCTTGCATTACCTGGATGTTAATAATTCCTAGCTGAAGCTAAACTCCCCCCCCCCTCCTGTACCATCCTTAGCTATTACTATAACTGGTTAACTACCTTTATTATAGGCCTATTCTTTCCTATTTTAGTTTGATATTGTTTCTACTAGCAGTGGTTGCAACTGCTGGATAATACTTTTGACTAGTTAATCCCAGGTACTATATCATTTTAATGTTTTTTCTTTAATGCTTTCCACACTAGCTTATGTGTGTGCTCAGAGCCGCATCCTCTCAAGGGAGTGTGTGGTGGTGCTTCTGGGAAAGGACAAGAAAATTACTGACTTGCCATGCGGTTGGCATTTCCTGACCCTTTTCAGCCCCTCAAATTGAACTATGTAGCTAAAAAAAAAAAAAGTAAAAAAAGTGTACCCTTGTGGTGATGAGGTTCAGAGCAACATTGTAAACTGAGGTTGGTACACACATTTTGAAATACTGTATCTCAAAAAGTTAGAAGAGAGGATTAAAACACTCAAAAAGTTGGCTAAGACAGGCAGACAAGAGTGAAGTTGGGAGTGAAATGGAAGTGGAAGAAAATAAGGAGCAGGATGGAGTAATACTGATGGAAGAGGCTCAGGAAAATTAACTATCCACCTGTTATGTCAGTGTTCAACTGTGGTGGAAAATGTAACAAAATGCAAAGCAAGCAATTTAGAAAAATAGAAGTTGATATACTTAAGAATAACATTACTTTTGATGCACAGAGTAATTACACTTAAGGTGATGTATCGATGAGAAAATCTGTAGGAGCCATGATGAGGATTTGAACCTACCTGTATTTGGGGGTGTTCTCACGCACATGGCCTTGTCAACTAGGCTACGACTAGGGCATGTTTGTTGTAACACCCACTGCATGGGTGTTTTATAGTTAGTTTTGTTTTATATTGCCTTTTAAAACCCACAGTTGTTGTTCTTAATGCATAAAACTAATCAGCTTTACTATTTTGATGTCAATTTGTTGCAAAGTTTTTTTTTTATATAGTTTTAATTTCTTTTAATTTGTGATTATTCAATTATCTTGTGCTAGCAATGGTATTACCAGCAAAATTAAATTTGTGATTTTAAAGGTAGTTAAGTCAAAACACTTCGTTGGAGATTACAGTACTATATTATACTTGAGTATCCCAGGTTTATGTTAAGGGTATTGTCTTGTGCACTGTATTTAATGCAATACTGTATACAGTATTGTATTAAATATTTTTGTTTTACAGTACTGTATAATGAATTCTAAATTACAGTACTGTATATTGTACTGTGTGTGAATATAAATTGCATAATTTTGTTGACCAGACCACACACCTAGGTGAAGGGACGATAACGTTTCAGTCTGTCCTGGACCATTCTCAAGTCGATTGTGTCATATACAATCTTGCCGTATAATTTTCTTGCCTGGATTTTAAAAAATTATGATTTATTTCACAGATAACAATGCCAAGTTTTAAGAGCAGCACAGAGCATAAAGGATGGCCACAAGATGTGGGCATTCTTGCCATGGAAGTGTACTTCCCATCACAATATGTGGAGCAATCAGAATTGGAAACATTTGATGGCGTATCTCAGGTAAGATAAGTGCGTCTAATGCTGTAATTCTTTTACAGCTTTGGGCCATGTCTTATTTACCTGTAGGGCATTGTTGTAATAGCTTCAATTTTCCTAATGTATTTTGAACTGCAGCATATGCTTTACTGTAATTTTATTTCTAAAGATTTCTTAACACTTTGACATTCCACCCCATCAGCATTTACTCAACTGTAAACATTTCCAGGTGTCTCAAGGCCCTGCTCAGTGGCGCCTAAAATGTTACAGTATATGCATTTTGTTTTCTCGGTTTTTCCTCTATCTATACAACTATAAATTTGGTTGCAGAATATTTGTAAATGAATGTGCTTGAGTATAGATGCAAAACAAAGTGTGTGTTCATAATAGATTTTGTCTGATGGTGCTAGATGTACACACACACAGTATTTATGTAAATGTCAACATTCCTCATATATATTTTTCAACATTGCTTATTTATTTTTCAACATAAAAATATAATTTTAAAATATGGAATGTACATACATGATTGGTCTATCTATAAAAAAAAAAAAGCACATCCCTTTCCTCTATCCTATCTCAAATCCTTATCCTCGTATCCCTTCTTATTGCTGTATAGTCTGAATGGCTTGGTGCTTTCCCCTGATAATTACCTTACCTTACTGCATCCTCTTGACACTGAATATGCAGCTAACCCTGTGTATCTGTTAGGCTTGGTAAAACCCTTACAGGCAAAATGTCATCTTCGGTAAAGCTCTTCTTTTAACTTTGCATTTCTTTACATGAAACAAGTGCCATACAGCAGTTTGGCATTTATACTTCTTGCATCACTGTACATTAAGTTGATTTAAAGTTTAGTTTGCAAACCGTGTGATGATGATCTGCTTTTTCACAGGGCAAGTACACAATTGGCCTCGGTCAAACTAGGATGGGCTTCTGCTCGGACCGCGAGGACATCAACTCCTTGTGTCTAACTGTCCTTTCCCGTCTAATGGAAAAAACTGGTGTTGGTAAGTACACAGTACCGAGTACAGTGGCATGTTTTTATGCTCATTCTTAATAATTCGCAATGTGTTGACTTTATGCTATTTTAGGATTAACTATTTCATTAGGTTACTATGAACATACATTTAGATAGCTAATGGAAATACAGTATTAATTAACATTAGGTCAACAAGTATAAGAATAAAGTTACTTGTTCCCAGTAAAAAAAAAAAAAATGCATAAATTCATAATGAAGGAAAGATATACATTTATACAGCAAGCAGAATGTTATGAAACATGAATTATGTAAATAAAGTACAATACAACCTCGAATCAATGAACTATAAGGGACCAACCCCAAATCATTGCAATGAGGAATTCCTTGCAACCAGAGATGCCTCAAAGATGCATTTCCCATGTCCTATGGAGTCACCTGGTAAAATTGTAATTTTAATGTACAATATAATAGACAACTACCAAATGAACATGACTGCAAAAAATTTAACTACATCTAGGTTTATTTCTCATGTCCCCAGCATCAAAACTCATTTTCCATAGGTAGCAGGGCTATACCTGAGTGAATGAAAACATTCCCAACTTGCAATGAAAACAAACCATATAATTTGGTTTTAAATGTCCTCAGTAGCTTTCCTAAGGCTCCAACTATTTCTTAAGACTGTTGAGTCTATCTACAAAAACCCATCACAAATGGGATTGGAGCCATTTTAAGAGTTACCATTCATACTAATATGTCTCATGCTCGATGGACTAATTTCACTGATCGAATTTTAATTTTGAACACTCTTATGAAGAACTACTAAGAGAACCTGTCTGCAAAGAGATTTAACTACACCTAGCATATTTCCAGTGCCCTGGCCATAAAATTTCATTTTCAAAGGGAATGAGGACCCATATATATTACTGAACAAACCCCCCAACAACTGGAAATAAGACAAGATTCATAGAATTTGGGTTTAAATATACTCGGTGGCTTTCCCAAAGCCCCGACTATTTATCGCAATGTTGCCTCCATCTGTGAAGTCAGTCCTAGGTAAATCTACACATCCCCCTGCTTTAGAGAACTCGTGTTCATCGAATTGGGTAAGTAAATCTGATGTGGAAACTGTGTTCCAACTGGAGATTCACCGAATTGAGATTTATTGAATCGAAATTCCACTGTATATTTAAACATACTACAGTAATTTAAAAATTTCATCTCATTATGCAGATAGCAAATAATTATACCTTTGTGGGTTACATATAGTATTTTTAAATATTAATAGCTGCTCTTAATTACAATTTGTTTTTTTGTTTTTGTTTTATTAACATTTAGGGTCTGGTTTGTATTTGAACTGCATAGTTCTAACTATACAGTCCTATAGTTAGACAAGAATAAAGGGAAAGATGCCTTGAGTGCCTTGGTGAATGGAATGAATTTGATTGTTCCTCGATCCCTTGCCTATGTGTTATATATAGTCGTAATGGTTATGTGCTTTCTCCTGATAAGTTGCCTTGATCCCTTGTTATAAATTAGGACCAGATTACCCAAATATATAGTGTTCCAGGAAACATTTCCATAGACATTTTACAAGGTCTGATTTTGTGTACTGATCATTTGGTAAAGAAATATCAGCTAAGAGCTGGTAAAGACACAGGTAGCCAACTAACTAATTACGCAAGCTACATGGATACATTATTTAGTCCAGCAGTATACAAAGATATGCAACATTATTGATGCCACAGTACTACAGGAGTGGGTAATAGTGATTGTAATGATTATAGCAGTTAACAGATGATCGGTGATGCCCTTTGAGACTTGAGGAAGAGCTGGGGTGTAACACGGCTGTTCAGTTTGTTCCTAGTATTTGTGCTTCTTCCTAATCTGCAACGAACTTCTGTCATCTGCAAGATATATTCCTGATGTGAGCAAGCACAACACAAATACAAAATAAAGTATTAAGTATAGTACTGTACTAATATAAATCTGATGCAACATGTTGCCATTGAACTACTAGGATTGACAACAGATTTTTCTGGTTACTGAATATGTTTGTGGTCAGAGTAAACTAAATTTTGAGATGCCTGAAGAGAAGCTATGGCAAGCATCCAGTGCTACAGTGAGCACGGTCAAGGACCAAATACTGTTCTGAGTTGAGCCTCTTGGAAGAGAAATGCATTTGAACACAATCCAAACTGGTGCCATTTCCTGTATGTCAATGAATTGCAACAGCAACTTTGGATAATAGTGGCTCTGACTACCATGGTGAAGCCAGGAGACAAAGCCCCAGCCTGTGCAAACATACATTTGGTCCATGCTTTACCTGTGGGGAAATTGCTTATACTATACTGTAAATATACCTGTGAACATTTACTTTACATTTATTGCAGGCTATGAGAACATTGGTCGTCTAGAAGTTGGAACAGAGACTATTATTGACAAATCTAAGAGTGTGAAGAGTTGTCTGATGCAATTGTTTGAGGACTCGGGCAACACAGATGTCGAAGGCATTGACACTACTAATGCTTGCTATGGTGGCACTGCTGCACTGATCAATGCCATTAACTGGGTCGAGTCAAGCTCTTGGGATGGTAAGTTTCATGTTCGCTTTTATGTATTTATCTTTTGCAAGAGTAAATTTGTTAAAAATTAATGGTCATTAGTAAACACATACTGTGAATCCTTTTTTTTTTCAGTTCAAGTACAAATGGTATTTACAGCATTTGACAAAGCAAATCAATCAATTATAATCAACTTTGCAAAAATCTGATTCTGTACCAGTTTTCTATACATCTCCAATCTATGTTAACCTCATTTTGTTATTGCTGTATCCTTATACACTCCAGTTTCCATATTTAATGGTGTCCTCATATTTGGCAGCTCTTAAGTCTAATGTAATGATTTATCATTAACTCCATAAGATATACAGTATTATTTAAACACTCTTGTTACGTACTGTAGTTCACTACACTTGTCATGTATCTTTATGGATGTGACGGGTATAATGTCCAACATAGACATTTAATCAGTACCTCTAGAAAGCACACATGGGGAGAAGCATAAAGTTATATCCTAGGACATGCTTCAAATGAAGAGAGAGCACTATTCGCTCTGCACACAGTTCCTACACACAAATGATGCTTGCTCACAATCTTGACTAATATTCATGTTTACACCCTACATTCTTGTTTTATGAACCTTTTCAGTAATCTGTATCATTGCACATTCCAAGCAGGCTTCATTATTTGCTGAATTTGAAGTCTCCAGTGTAACCCCCTATTTTTACCAGATACCTGTTATTTGCATTTTTCTTTTGAATTGACCATATGTAACCCCTGCAAAAATTGAGGGCTGCTTGTATGTTTGTTTTCCCCCACTCAAGAATTTTACTATTGTAACTGGTTAGGATATGATATTAGTGAACCAATCTTGTCTTTCTTATACTGCTTATCAAGAAAGTGTTAAAATAATTTTTAAATATGCAATTAAGTGAAACTGCTCATTTTTAAGAAATTACATTTTTTCCAACTCGGGCCACAGAGACACTGATCCCCAGAACCGGCACAAGGTAAATACAGTACTACTAAATGTTTGAACTTGATTGTCCAATTTGCATTTTTCCTAAGGTCGATATGCTGTGGTGGTAGCAGGGGACATAGCAGTTTATGCAAGTGGACCCGCAAGACCTACTGGTGGTGCTGGTGCAGTGGCCATGTTAGTAGGCCCTCATGCTCCATTAATCATGGAGAGGGGTATGTTGCATTTTTGTTTTGCTTCAAAGCATTATAATTAGTTTACATGTGTCTTGTACTGTATGAGCCTACAAATGTTATTTGAGTAGATAATATATTATTTGATTTAGAGTACTTTAGTGGAAATGAGGAACAAGTCTGAAGCAAATAAAATGAAATAAATAGGTCATGCTAGTGTGGCTTGGATAATTGAATAGACCATATGTAAAAGAATGTACCTGGAAGCAAGAGGAAATGTATAGTGACTAGAGTGAATGTTTTCTGTACCAGTGCAGAAGGTCCACATTATTTTCCTTGACTCTGGTAAATCTTGTCCAGAAGTGAGTATAGGATAGCCTTTGGAAGCTACTTTGAAAGAGGAAGCACAGAAGACATTTTGTTAAGGAATATTATAACTTTAATCGGCATACTGCATCATGTTTTGCATGAGTGATAATTAATGTTTAATATCACAAAAGCTAATATGTAATGAGTAAATAAAATTAAACCTAATATGGAAATGCTAATACTGTTCTAAGGACTTGTAGGATAATGAAGTACTGTACTATATAAGTTTACTGACACAATTTTGATAATATAGTGGAACCTCGGTTGACGAATGCCCCTCTTTACGAATTTTTCGGTTTAAGAGCTCGGTTTCTTCGTAAAATTTGACTCGGTGTTTAGGGTGTTTATGAGCTTTGTCTTGCTTGGCGAGTTGATACACGTATGGGCCAACCGAATGTGTGGTGCACTTCAGTTTACCGTTGTCTCCGTCCTAGTGATGACCACGCTTGAATTCTTTGTGAAGAATTTCATTGTTTTTGTACTTTTTTTAGTTTCTGAACATAAAAGCTCTTATTATATATCATGCCATGGGTCTTTGAAAGCATTTCAGAGGCCATCATTTGTGAAAAAGCAAGGCTATTGCATGAAGACATTATAAATAAAACCTAGGAACAAGTGATGCAGATATGAAATCATATAAGGCGATCAGGGGATGGTTTGAGAAATTTAGAAAAAGAATTGGTATTCATAGTGGTGTGAGGTATGGGGAAAAACAAATGTCTATAAACAGATTTTTAGTGAGACAAGCAAGCAGTGAGCCACAACCAGATCCTAGTGGTATGCCTGCCAAACATAGGAGAGAGTATCCCAGAAATGGTATCACTGCCTGATGTTATAATGGAAGGGGACTCCCCTTTAAAACACTAACACCTCTCGTCCTCCTCCTCCGCTCCCTCTTCACTGTCTTCCATACGCCAACAAGAGTCCTCAATAACGGTAAGATATATTGTACTGTAGTACAAAATATAAATAGTATTATATATAAAATGTATTATGAATTTAATATTTTTGGGAGTGTTGAACAGATTAATTCAATTTACTTTACCTATTTCTTATGGGAAAATTTGTTTCGGTTTTCGAAATTTCGGTTGACGAACCATCATTAGGAATGGATTAAATTCGTAAACGAAGGTACCACTGTATTATGAAAACAATATGCTATTCACGATTCTTCGCGGCAGGGGATCGTATTCCAGGGACCTGCCCAACCCTACGCATACTAGTGGCTGTACAAGAATGTAACAACTCTTGTATATATCTCAAAAAAAAAAAAAAAAAAAAAAAAAAAAAAAAAATTTAAAGAAACAATTGATGAATTGTGTAATACGAGTGCATGTGTGGGCATGTTTTTGTGACTATTTGAGTGCATGGTGTTGAGCTACTGTATATTGATTTGGAACTTGCCAAGTTAATGTCTTTTACAATATTTGATAGTGTTATATTTTTGTTTTATACCATTCATGAAAATATTTGTAGTGAAAATTAAAAAACAGATTATACAGTGATGATACAGCAGCCACAAGTAACCCACACTGTGATTACCAAACCTGCAGATAGTAAGGATATGCTGTACAGTATTTTGAACTAAACCCCTTTCTAATACAGAAATGTGTTCCAGGAGTCCGAGGATCGCACATGTGTCATGTGTATGATTTTTATAAGCCTGACCTCTCGTCAGAATACCCAACTGTAGATGGAAAACTGTCTATACAGTGCTATCTGTCGGCGTTAGATGCTTGTTATCAAACATTCTCCCGAAAATCAAATGCCTTCAAGGACAGTAAGTTTCCCCCAAGATGTGCATATTTATGCCTTATTAATTTCTCTTTGGTAGTATACTTTCTAGTTTAATGTTTATTAGTTAATCTTAAGAAAAGCTTACTTTTTAAGTGTACTGTATTTAATTTCAGCCTCTTGGCATTTATGTACGTAATAAATTTTGAGTCACTGAAGTATTACCGAAAATGTAAAATAAAAATGCTTATACAAAACTGAACAAAATGCCTCCCTCTCTCTGAACTAGTCATACCATTGTCATTGAGACTGAATTGGCTGGTAATATGTTCAATAGCATATTGTGAAAGACTTGAATAACAGAACGTTTCCTTAGTAGAATTTATTTTAAGTGTTCACTGTTATTTCATATAAAGCTTATCATATGCAGTACTTACCAGTGTAAAACATAAGATTCAAATGTTAATCATATATCAGCTGAAATATCAGTTGTTTTTAACAAACTGATGCTTTTTCACGTGGAATGTGATGGCTAAATTGGTCCATATTAAAATTGGGCCACAATTGGTTTATATGATAATTGTTCAGATTTTAGCAGTTGTAATTTTATAAGGAACCAAAATTAATTATATTAATTTTATTTAGTTTTTTATTCAGTGCATATCTAAGGGATTATATGTAATATTAATATATGAATGATAGTGTATGTTAACATAGATGTGTGGCTTTCAGTTCTTATATTTTCTTGATTATTTGAATGGAAAAATCCAAATTATTTGCATAATGTTATATGCTTGTATTGTTTCATAATAAGATAGCATTATAACATGAACTCCTGTCATGTAAGTTTAACTCTAAATAATATGAAATTCGTGATTTGGACCAATATTCATAGGTACAATGTAGTTTAATAACACCACCTGCACATTATTATTCATATTGATGTGTAACTTTTATCCACAGATCCGTCTCCACCCATGTCTCTGGACCAGCTTGATGCTGTTATCTTTCATTCACCATTTTGTAAACTGGTACAGAAGTCTCTTGCTCGTTTGGCTTTCAACGATTTCCTTAACACTCCTGTGGATCGGGTTTCATCAAAGTATCCAGGACTTGAAGCATTTCGGTAAGACAAATGTCTTTGTTCAGTAGATCCTTGTTTATGTTTGGTTAGCTGTGACTTAATTTCCATTGGAAAGAGTACTGCATGGATCAAAGTATCATTGTTGCCTATTTATTTTCATGTCATCATTGAGTGATGACATAAACAAGAAAATACTCGTATTAACATTAAATTAACAAGAAATTCACAAGAAAATACTCACATGGTGAGCATCTCCAAGAAACCCCTAAAGGCCAACAGAGAGCTGGGCAAGGATATGCAAGGAGAAACTTCAGGGACAACTCACATAGAGGGTAATAAAGAACTAGAAAAGCACAGAGAGGAAATTAAAGAGACGTATGTGCAAGTTGTAAAAGAGAAAGGGACGATAAAGGAAGTGTGTGTGGAAGTCAAAATCATTAAGGCCCAACAAGAAGCAGAAGTTAGGCAAGCAATTAGGAAAGAACTGGTAACCTACAGTAAATTAGTACAAAACACTGCAGATAGAAGTAAGTCCATAATAATTTTTGGGTGTTTAGAAAAAGAAATATCATCTAGGGTGGACAGAGCAGCAGGAGAGATGGAAAATCATAGAGAAAAGAGTAGGTTTAGGAGAAGGCCTCAATTCAAAGGAAAATGTCAGTGATTTTAGGAAAATATTACAAATGAGCAAAAAACAATTACATAGCAGTGAGAAGAGAAGCAGTGAGAAGAGAGGCAGAAAGGAACTTGGAGATGGTTATAGCAAACAAATGTAAAACAGATCCAGGATTTTTCTATAACTTCATTAAAAGCAAGCTGCATATAAAGGATAAAATCCAGAGATTGAGAATGGGGAACAAAACTACTGTACTGAGAATGAAGAAAAATGTAAAATGCTAAATGAACAGTTCCAAAGTGTTCAAAATGAGGATTTCAGAGAGCCAGACCATATAACAGTTCCAGGATACCCCATAGAATATATCGAGGTATCTCAAGACGAAGTGGAAAAATTACTTGTGGAGCTAGAAAGAAATGAAGTGGTTGGACCTGATGAAGTTTCACCTTGGGTGCTTTGAGAATGTGCAGCTGAGCTGAGCATTTCACTCCAATTAATATTTCAGACACCCTTGTGCACAGGAATCTTAGCAAATATATGGAAAAAGGCAAACATGGTACCAATTTATAAAAATGGTAGTAGAGAGGAACCTCTCTTAAGTTATAGACCCGTATCATTAACAAGCGGGGTAGTCAAAATACTTGAAAAAAAATAGTTAAAGCCAAGTGGGTTGAACATCTAGAGTAATGACATAATAACGGACAACATGATTTTCGAACAGGAAGATCCTTTGTAACAAATCTACTTAGCTTTTATGATAGAGCCACAGAGATACTACAGGAAAGAGGTGGTTGGGTTGACTGTCTATCTGGACCTAAAAAAGGCTTTTGATAGAGTCCCACAAAAGAGACTGTTCTGGAAATGAACATGCTGGAGTGGTGACCTACCTACTTCTTGTGCTACCTTATGTAGCTTCCTGGGAGTGACAGTCCTGCGGTCCAATCTCTGACCAGGCCTCTCGGTTGGTCGTCTGGTCACCAGGCTGTTGGACGCGGCTGCTCGCAGCTTGACGCGTAAATCACAGCATGGTTGATAAGGTATTCTTTGGAGGTGTTTCAGGAATTGATCAAATTGACAGCGGGAATTCCCGAAACCAGCAATTTCACGAACAAGAGAACACAGATTCAAGCTAAGGAAACAAAGGTGCTGAAAAAATGTTAGTTTTCTTTTGCGAACAGAGTGGTAGACGGTTGGAACAAGCTAAGTGAGAAGGTGGTGGAGGCCAAAACTGCATTATACAATAGTGCTTGGAAGATGAGACACCATGCGCATAGTTCTCATCCTGTAACTGCACTTAGGTAATTACACACACACACTTTGTGTGTGTGTGTGTGTGTGTGTGTGTGTGTGTGTGTGTGTGTGTGTGTGTGTGTGTGTGTGTGACACACACTTGTGTCTTGTGTGACTTGTGTGTATGACAGCTCACAGTCACTTGGTGACTGTGAGCTGGAGGAAGCAGGAGTCACACTGCAGCAAGCTCCTGGAAATATCGAATTACCTAAGTGTTGGGAACAGGTTGAGGGCTACAGTGGTGTCCCAGGTTACATAAAGGTTCAGGGAAGTGTAAAAGGAAATAAAATACAATAAACAAGTAAAAGTGTGTGAAAATAGCTGAGTGGAAAAGTATGTTTTGGTCTAGAACAAAAACAAAGATGGCCGCCACCACCACCACCACCACCACTGGGAATGTAGACACACCAACAGATGATGGTTTCAAAGGATTCTCACCACAAGACATAAGGGAAAGGAGGTGTTCTTGGCAGGTTAGAGATAATTGAGGATATGCAAAAGAAGTATGAAGAAAAAATGCATAAATTTTAAGAGGACAATGGAGCTCTTTGGAGTGAGCTTTGCACTCTAAAAGGGAGTATGCTTCAGCAAGGTAAGATTATTACTGCATTAACAGACAAGGTAACAAATCAGGAGGAGCAAATCAAGGAACTAGTGAAAGAAAATGAGGCATGGAAAGTGAAGTGTGGTGACTTTGAAGAAATAAACAAGAAAATAGACTCATATGGTGAACAACTCCAAGCAAGCCTAAGGGCTAACATAGAGTTAGGTAAGGATCTCCAACTGGAAACTTCACTGACAACTCACATAGAGGAGGTGAATAAAGAACTAGAAAAGTATAAAGAAGAAATAAAAGCGACATATGCTCAAGTTGTAAAAGAGAAAGAGACAATCAAAGAAGTGTGTTCGGAAGTCAAAACCAGAAATGACCAACAAGAAGCAGAAATTAGGCAAGCAATTAGGAAAGAACTGGTTACCAACAGTAAACTGGTACAAAACACTGCAGATAGAACTAAGTCCATAATCATTTTTGGATGTTTAGAGAAGGAAATTTCATCTAGGGTAGACCGAGCGGCAGAAGAGATGAAAATCATAGAGAAAATAGTAGGTTTAGGAGAAGGCTCAAAGGAAAATGTCAGTGATTTGAGAAGAATAGGAAAATATGAGAAAGAAAAGAACCGCCCCTTAAGGGTGATGTTTAATGGAGTGAAAAACATGATGGATGTGCTAAGAAATGCCAGGAAATTGCAGAGTGATGAGGTTGGCAAACTTTGGTCAATAAGACAAGACCTCTCCAAGGAAGACAGAAAAGCTGAAAATGAACCTAATTGAGGCAAAACGGCTAAATGGGGATAGAAATGAAGAAGACAGAAATTCTTTTTTTTACAAAGTGACAGGGACTGGAAAGCTTTTGAAATGGTACATAAAAACAAAGCAACAAGATCAGTGGTGGAAGGGGAAGTAAAGAGCAAAGGAAAAGGGAACATGTTCCTGAAAATTGTATATACCAACATAGATGGAGTGAGGTCAAAAACTTTGGAGTTGCAAGATATAATCCAGCTTAGGTTCCCAGATATTGTCGCATTATCAGAGACGAAACTTGAAGGAAATATAATAAATGAAGTCATATTCCCAAGAGGCTATTCAGTTTGGAGACGTGACAGGAAAACTAGGAAGGGAGGAGGAGTGGCTGTACTGGTGAAAAAACACCTGAAGGTAAGAGAGTTAATATTTGAAAACCCTCGAGATATTGACATAATGGCATTGCAGGTCTGGAATCAGGATGATAAGCTGATAATTTTAAATGCCTACAGCCCACCAGCAAGCAACACATGGACAAAGGAAGAACTGGATGACAAACGAGAGGGCCTCATAATGGTCATGAGAGATGATATTGTACAAGCAGATAAGGATAAATCACGACTGTTGATACTGGGGGACTTCAACTTTAAAGCAATAGACTGGGAGGCCTATAAAGCAAGAACGGAGGACTTTTGGACATGCAGATTTATGAACCTCATTCTGGAGACATTCTTGTATCAACACATAAAGCAGGCCACAAGAATGAGGAAAGGAGATGTACCGTCAGTACTGGATCTAGTATTCACCAGGAAAGAAGAAGAGATATTTGACATCCAGTACCTTCCTCCCTTGGGAAAGAGTGATCACGTCCTGTTAGACATTGATTATGCTTTAAGATATCATCTAGAAGAAAATGGGGACATTGAAACAGTATTGATTATGCTTTAAGATATCATCTAGAAGAAAATGGGGACATTGAAACAGTTGATAAACTCGATTTAAGGAGAGGACACTATGGGGAACTTCGACATTTTTTTAAGGAGTGTAATTGGACAGAATTGTTGCTAGGCAGGGAAGTAAATGAAATGTATGCCAAATTTTTTAAAATATACGAGGAAGGCACACAAACATTCATACCAAAACAGAGATGTAGGGCCAGAAAACAGGATTGGTTCGACAGAAATTGTGAGAGGGCAAGAGACCAAAAGACACAAAAATGGAATCGGTATAGGAAGAGGCCAAACCCCCAAACATACCAGCGATACAAAGATGCGAGAAACAACTATACGGCAGTAAGGAGAGAGGCAGAGAGAAATTTTGAAAAAGGGATAGCGGATAAATGTAAAACAGAACCGGGCCTATTCTACAAATTCATAAACAACAAATTGCAGGTAAAGGATAATATCCAGAGGTTGAAAATGGGAAACAGATTCACAGAAAATGAAAAGGAAATGTGTGAAACATTAAATGAAAAGTTCCAAAGTGTGTTTGTACAAAATGAAATCTTCAGAGAACCAGACACAATAAGAATTCCAGAGAACAACATAGAGCGGATAGAGGTGTCTAGAGATGAAGTGGAAAATATGCTAAAGGAGCTCAGTAAGAACAAAGCAGCTGGCCCAGATGGCGTTTCACCATGGGTTCTGAGAGAATGTGCATCTGAGCTCAGCATTCCACTTCACCTGATCTTTCAGGCATCCCTGTGTACAGGAATCGTAGCAGACGTGTGGAAACAGGCTAACATAGTTCCAATCTATAAAAGTGGCAGCAGGGAAGACCCCCTCAATTATAGACCTGTATCATTGACAAGTGTAATAGTGAAAGTATTGGAAAAACTAATCAAAACTAAATGGGTAGAACACCTGGAGAGAAATGATATAATATCAGACAGACAGTATGGTTTTCGATCTGGAAGATCCTGTGTATCGAATTTACTCAGTTTCTATGATCGAGCCACAGAGATATTACAGGAAAGAGATGGTTGGGTTGACTGCATCTATCTGGACCTTAAAAAAGCTTTCGACAGAGTTCCACACAAGAGGTTGTTCTGGAAACTGGAAAATATTGGAGGGGTGACAGGTAAGCTTCTAACATGGATGGAAAATTTTCTGACTGATAGAAAAATGAGGGCAGTAATCAGAGGCAATGTATCGGAATGGAGAAATGTCACAAGTGGAGTACCACAGGGTTCAGTTCTTGCACCAGTGATGTTTATTGTGTACATAAATGATCTACCAGTTGGTATACAGAATTATGAACATGTTTGCTGATGATGCTAAGATAATAGGAAGGATAAGAAATTTAGATGATTGTCATGCCCTTCAAGAAGACCTGGACAAAATAAGTATATGGAGCACCACTTGGCAAATGGAATTTAATGTTAATAAATGTCATGTTATGGAATGTGGAATAGGAGAACATAGACCCCACACAACCTATATATTATGTGAGAAATCTTTAAAGAATTCTGATAAAGAAAGAGATCTATGGGTGGTTCTAGATAGAAAACTATCACCTGAGGACCACATAAAGAATATTGTGGAAGGAGCCTATGCTATGCTTTCTAACTTCAGAATTGCATTTAAATACATGAATGGCGATATACTAAAGAAATTGTTCTTGACTTTTGTTAGGCCAAATGTGGTGCCCATATCTTAAGAAGCACATCAACAAACTGGAAAAGGTGCAAAGACATGCTACTAAGTGGCTCCCAGAACTGAAGGGCAAGAGCTACGAGGAGAGGTTAGAAGCATTAAATATGTCAAAACTAGAAGACAGAAGAAAAAGAGGTGATATGATCACTACGTACAAAATAGTAACAGGAATTGATAAAATCGACAGGGAAGATTTCCCGAGACCTGGCACTTCAAGAACAAGAGGTCATAGATTTAAACTAGCTAAACACAGATGCCGAAGAAATATAAGAAAATTCACCTTCGCAAATAGTGGTAGACGGTTGGAACAAGTTAAGTGAGAAGGTGGTGGAGGCCAAGACCGTCAGTAGTTTCAAAGTGTTATATGACAGAGTGCTGGGAAGACGGGACACCACGAGCGTTGCTCTCATAGTGGCAGGTACTGTATTGACAAAATTGAGAGATGGTGATATATTGATATACTACAGTATTGTAGATGTTTTAAGTGTAATGTGCCATTTTGAATTTTCCCGTAATCGATATTTTAAATACTTTATCAGAGAGAAAAAGCTGGAAGACACTTACTTTGACCGGGATGTGGAAAAGGCATTTATGAACTACAGTGAACCATTATTTAAAGCAAAGACCAATCCGTCATTGGTTATTGCCACTCAGGTCGGCAACATGTATACACCTTCTGTTTATGGAGGACTTGCATCATTTATTTCAAGGTAAGACCCCCTGCAAAATTCCTCTTCACTTTGTGATACCTGTACTATGTTAAACATAACTTTTTAAAGAAAACTTTTGTTTAAATAGTGAAACCTCGCTTAACAAATTACTGTACTTAACACTACCAATATTTGCTCTAAAGAGTAGCAGAAAAAATGCCAGTATTTTGTGGCACTATTTAGCAGGGATATGCATTCTTCTCATTATTTACATCCATCCATGCCTGTAACCTGCTCCCATCTTTACTTTTGTTATTTAAATGACTATGTAAGTTTTAATCTGCTTTGATCACTAACAATTGGTGTTGCTGGCTGTACTGTATCTTTCTCTTTTTTTCCCCCCAAAGAGGCCAGCAAGTGCACAGAGTGGAACTGGTGCTCTAGATTTTGCTCAAGTCAAACTTTAACCCAATTACAGTTGTAGAGATGAATTTCTATATAGTAGGTATGGAAATTTATTTGACGAGGCTAATTCAAGACTTGCTTGAACTGTCCAGAGAATGCATTTTTTAAGGTCAAATATCTAGTAAAGCACCATTTTTTTTTTCCAAAATATTGGTCTAAATCTAGACTGCAATAAATTTTTAGCTATAGTGTTTTCAGGTCATTCATCAATAAATAGTGTGTTTTGTTGTATTCACTAATAAAGAGTTTACCAAGTTTATTACAATCCTCTGATTACTGGTGGTAGAGCCTAGATATGCAACAGTGTGTTTAGGTGCATATACTGTGTTTACTCTCTTTAATCAACATCATCCAAATAAAGTTTGGACATAATCTTGAATTATTTATTTCTATCTTACAGCAACTCTGTTGCAAGTCTGGCTGGCAAGAAAGTAGCCATGTTTTCATATGGCTCTGGGCTGGCTGCTACAATGTTCTCGCTTCGTGTATCGGAGGACACAGGACCTGACTCTCCTCTTTCGAAACTTGTTGCTTCTCTCTCGGATCTTGGTGTAAGACTTGATGCCCGATCCAAAGTGTCTCCCAAGTTGTTTGCTGAAACAATGAAGTTGCGGCAGGAAACGCATCACAAAGGTGAGATTTTGTCGTTTGATGTTTGCATGTCCCGTTTATTGTTTTTATCATGGCTCTCAATTTTTTTAACTTTACCTTTTTCACATTTAAAAACTGTAGCTGTCTACCTCTGCTTCCTTTACCTTGAAGAAAAATGCAAAATTGTTGTTTTCAAATACCTATGCCTCTTGATTCCTTCAAGTATATTCCTTCTTTCCACTGTTACATCTTATTTAACTCCAATTGATTTTGACCATCTCCAAACTCAACAGATAATTCATTTTAGAAAAAATGTGAGTGTTGCAGACACATTTACAATTGATTCTACTAGGCAATTCATTTGATTTGCAAGAAAGTTGACACTTTCATGAATATACATTTTGCAATTCTAATATTGCTGCACACAGATGTACAGTACACAACTATCTAGAGTCGGCATCTACCAAGGGATTTTAGGTGTAAGGTAACGAACTTAGTTTGCTGCAGCCCAAAAATTACATGTTGGAAATTTTTCAACTAAACATTTTCTTAGGTTACAAGTAAATACTGTTCTAAACAGTAATTATACTCATTTGCCCTTTATATTACCATCTTATGTTTTTTACAGCTCCTTATACACCAGCGGGTATCGTGGAGGTCCTGTTTCCAGGCACCTGGTATTTAACTCGTGTGGATGAGATGCATCGCAGGCAGTATGAACGCCGCCCTCTTACTGCTGTGCATACCATGCCTTCTATTGCTGGTGCTTCAACAAACTCTGTAATAAAAGAAGCTTCATCTGTGCCAACCGATTTACTGTCTCATCAGGTTTAATAGCTGGATATAACATACTAAACATGGCATGGCAGGTGATATGATATGAATCTGTATCTTGGCAGCTTGTTACATATATTGTCATAAGTTTTTGTTCACAATGTATATATAATATAACTTTTATTACAGTAATGCTACTGTATTATAGTCACATTACCTCACAGGGTTCTCGACAATTAAAAAAACGCAAATTGCTGGTATGGCAAGAGTGTGTCAAAGCATGGGAGATCTTAAATATAACTGTTTTAAAAATGTTGTAAAACAAAGATTACTTTGTTAAGCATCATGAACATCTGTCAGATGTCTTGAATTGGAGAGCCTCTAACTATAACATGACCAGTTTGTGCATTCGGAAGTCATAAAGGGTCATGTCAAATTTCCGTGTTGTGTGTAGTCTTGAAGAATAGTATCTTATCACAAGGTTACTTACAAGGGTGAGATTACCAGCAACATTGGGGCACGGTTGAGACCCACGATATTTATCAGATTTATTATCTTGCTGTTACTAAGTTTTTATAATATTGCAGAATTTAGAATTACAGCTGTTTTAGCTGTGTAAATTAAACATTTCCGTTAGTTTGTAAGTTGACTGTAAATGCCTCACTTGATATCTTATTCCTTATATTTGATAGTCATGAGACCATTATTATTTAAGTGATGATGTAATCTAGACTACTGTTACAGGTGCAGCTTTTTTTGTTTCTGTTGAGGGATAATGACTGAAAGTATAGAGACTAAGCAATCTCTATTTAACTACTGCACTGCATTAAAATATGACACCCCTGTGGTGTGCAGAAAATAAATTTTCACAATTATTTTATCTTCTATGGTTAAAGTGCTGTCTCTGATCACGGGAAACTACTGTAAAATCAAATATTGTATGTGACGTACTTTAGCCGTGATGGAGCCGAGAAGTTGAGCAATCTATGGGTGCAGAGTGATCAAGCGCTCGGGAACACTCGACCCCGCCACCCTGTGGGGCGGCAGTTGCCCTGAATATAATTTGTCATAATTATTTCAGTGTCTCATTTGTTTCTTCTTTGGCTTTTCCTTTATTATTCAAAAGTGTGTAATTTGTGAAATTTATATAGTTCAGTGTGTGGAACATTGCTATGTTCAAAATTATGGAGCTCATATATGGTGACATGTATATTATATTCTGAGATTATATTCTTAGATAGACCAAACAATGTTCTTGCTGTTATTACGCTATATACGCATGTTATATATCGCTACGGTATCAACATTTATATGCACCATAACAAATAAGCAGCTCTGGTGGATATGGTGATGAAATCGAAACACAGCATGGCCCTCCAATATTTTACACATCCCGCTATGACTAGCTACAAAACTGCTGTTAATACACATTCCTGTCACAAAACGCATATGAATCATTTTAAATGGGGGTGTATTGTGAATGAACATTAGGTCGTTTCATGATGCGTAGATGCAGGAAACAATTGCTGGGTCCTGTGTATTTACCTTGTGCTGTGAATATCATAACTAGCATTGTATTCACTGATATCTGAACGCTGTATATAGTCTTTATCCCAGTCGGGATCATCTATGACACTCGACGCCAAATAATTTCAATTGCCTATTTTATTCGTCATTTCTAAGTGGTGCTGTAGTCCCTAGCTGCACATTGGTGCTGAGAGGAGCTGCTGCGTGAGTGCCAGCCTTGATCGCGCTCTCGGTACTAAGGCTCTCATGGCCAGCACGGATGCTGACAATTTTTTTTCCAATGGTGTCTGTTCACTGGAGTCCTGAGGCACAGGAAGCGAGTCCCGTGTATCCGTGGGAATTTTGAATCGCTCCATATACCTAAAAGCGCCACGTGGCGCTCTGTGCACCCTTGATCGGGGGCCTTAGGGTGCTCTGTGCAGTGCAGTGGTTAAGGAAATCTTTTAATGGAAATATAACAAGTTTAATATATAGTACTTTATTTGTTGTATTATTCTTTGATAGTATTAATAGTAGTACAATTATTCTAAAAAAAAAATTGTCTTGCTAAAATTGACTGGTACCACTTCAATTGTTGAGGTTCTCTACAGTGAATTGTTACTTTGAATGTTTTTAGGCATTGCATTTCTGCTTCTATTACAGTGTATGGGACAATTTCAGTTAGGCCTCTTGGGCCAGATTTACGAAGCACTTACAAACCTGTACATCTTTTCTCAATCTTTAGCAAGTTTGTTTACAATTATTAAATGGTTAATGAGCTCCGAAGCACCAGGAAGCTGTTTATAACAATAACAACAATTGATTGGGAAGTTTTCATGCTTGTAAACTGTTTAATAAATGTAACCAATGCCGTCAAAAATTGAGGAAAGATGTACACGTTTGTAAATACTTGCGTAATGGCTTTATGAATCTGGCCACTTGTGCCCTACGATTACAGGAGACAGTCTTGCCCATTTTTAGGTGACATACATTGTTTTGTCTAATGCCCTTGTTACAGTGTGTGTAAGCCTCTTGAGATATATTAAAAATTCATTTTACTACAAAACTAAATTATATATTTTTTATGACTTAAAGCTATATAATAAAATATATTGGTTTTATGCACAGATTATGTACTATACTTGTTAAACTTGCACACTTTACAGAACTTGTATACGTTAAGTAAGACTGTTACGTTGCAATATAGATTACATAGTAATTACGGTAATATAAAAATGTATGGACAGGTAAAACAGTAAATGCATAACTTTTTTTTTAGCAAGTTGATCTGGTGCAGGATTTTATTGAAGACCTATACTGACAGAATGATCTGACATAACCCTTATAACCCTTCTGAAAGGTGATGGGCAAGTGAATGGTGCAATTTTTTATATAATATATTTTCTGCAGGTAATTTTGTGCATATTTTACATTAAGATTTATCTCCTCCCTTTCTTCTCTTTATCCCCATCCCCCTCTCCCCTATATCCTCTCTTCCCCCCCCCCATATCCTCTCCCCCTCCCCTATCCCTTCTCTCTCTCTCTCTCTTTCTCCCTGCTGTCCTTCCATAACTGCCCAACCCTACTGATCTTTCTCATTTCTCCCTTTCCTCTTTGCACTATATTTTGTTACTTGTTTATATTTACTTTGAATATGGGTAGAGTAAACAACTATTATGTGGGGGAACTTTGCCACAGTTTTCCAATACCAATAAATACTCTGTAATATGCTAAATATTTAAAGGATTTATAAAAATGGTATATGTGGGTGATTAGCAATTGTGTGTGTACTATTAGTGTACATTTAGTACCTGTACTTCTATTGGGCCAATGTACATTTATATGGTCATATAAAAATGTACATCAGTATTATTAATGTATTGTCACAAATCCTAAGGTTACAAATAAAAGCTTTGCTAAAGAATAACTTTCTAGAGAATTCAAACTACTTTCACAAGGAATGTAGATTCTACACATGTATAATGTATCTTTTTTTTTTCTTTTCTTAATAATAGTATGGTGGTAAATTTAGGATCTCCTTAACCCTTTGTTAAAATCATAAGTTGCCCCTTTAATGTTGGAAACGGTGTCCTGCCTTGATTTAAGATCCGATCTCGGCACTACTGTATCTGATCTCAAAGTATTACATGTACAGTATCAACAATGCAGCAATATTTGAGCACATTCCTTTTATCTTTCCACTTTGGTTGTCAAAATTTTACATTGTAAAATCATGCTAGTAACACACCAGTAGGGGGCCAGATTGACTGCAGGAAAAATGTATAATAGTGCATATTTCCAGCTCAAAATTTATACTGGAAACCATAATAACAGATGTTTATTGTCTTGGAGTAATTTAATGCATCATGATTAAAAAATATTACAATTGCTGTATTTATTAATCAATACATGGCATCAGTGGTTTGTAGCAAATATTTTTTTGTACTGGGATAATTTATCCTTTCACCACCATCTCTAATAGCCTCGATAAGGACACAAAGCTGGTCACTTGTGAAATGTCCCCCAATTCATCCTGATGATTTTTATAATTGTAGCATTGTTTTGATGTATGTGTGTGTGTGTGTGTGTGTGTATATATATATATATATATATATATATATATATATATATGTCGTACCTAGTAGCCAGAACGCACTTTTATGCCTACTATGCAAGGCCCGATTTGCCTAATAAGCCAAGTTTTCCTGAATTAATTGTTTTTCGACAACCTAACCTAACCTAACTTTTTCGGCTACCTCACCTAACCTAACCTCTAAAGATAGGTTAGGTTAGGTTAGGTAGGGTTGGTTAGGTTTGGTCATATATCTACGTTAATTTTAACTCCAATAAAAAAAAATTGACCTCATACATAATGAAATGGGTAGCTTTATCATTTCATAAGAAAAAAATAGAGAAAATATATTAATTCTGGAAAACTTGGCTTATTAGGCAAATCGGGCCTTGCATAGTAGGCTGATAAGTGCGTTCTGGCTACTAGGTACGACATATATATATATATATATATATATATATATATATATATATATATGTCGTACCTAGTAGCCAGAACGCACTTATCAGCCTACTATGCAAGGCCCGATTTGCCTAATAAGCCAAGTTTTCCAGAATTAATATATTTTCTCTATTTTTTTCTTATGAAATGATAAAGCTACCCATTTCATTATGTATGAGGTAAATTTTTTTTTATTGGAGTTAAAATTAACGTAGATATATGACCGAACCTAACCAACCCTACCTAACCTAACCTAACCTATCTTTATAGGTTAGGTTAGGTTAGGTAGCAGAAAAAGTTAGGTTAGGTTAGGTAGGTTAGGTTGCCGAAAAACAATTAATTCATGAAAACTTGGCTTATTAGGCAAATCAGGCCTTGCATAGTAGGCTGAGAAGTGCGTTCTGGCTACTAGGTACGACATATATATATATATATATATATATAAGGTTAGGAAAAATATATATATATATATATATATATATATATATATATATATATATATATATATATATATATATATATATATATATATATATATATTAGGAAAAAGTTAGGTTAGGTTAGGCAGGTTAGGTTGTCGAAAAACAATTCAGGAAAACTATCTCTATCTATCTCTATCTATCTATATATCTATATCTATCTATATCTATCTATATCTATCTATCTATATCTATCTATCTTTCTATCTATATCTATCTTTCTATCTATCTATCTATCTTTCTATCTTTCTATATCTATCTTTCTATCTTTCTATCTATATCTATCTTTCTATCTATCTATCTTTCTTTCTTTGTATCTTTCTTTGTATCTTTCTATCTTTCTATCTTTCTTTCTTTCTTTCTATCTTTCTTTCTTTCTTTCTATCTTTCTATCTTTCTTTCTTTCTATCTTTCTTTCTATCTTTCTTTCTTTCTATCTTTCTTTCTTTCTTTCTATCTTTCTTTCTATCTTTCTTTCTTTCTTTCTTTCTTTCTTTCAGATGGATTGCCTTCGAGGGGCTGCCCTGTGGACTCTCCTAATTATGCTTGTGGGGGTGGAGCTTCAGCTCTTTGTTAATGGATGTGGGTGCCTGAGCTGGGGTGCAAGAGGGGCAGTGGGCGGAGTGAAATGCATGCATTACAAACACTTGTTCAGTACTTGTAGGGTTGATTCACCTCCACTGCTTCCTTTATTTATTTTTATTTCTGCACTTCTTCTATCAACTCTACCTGGACTGGATTAGCAAGTCCTTGACAACTTCCATAAAGGACAGTTTCCCCATTTACTTGTAATCAGTCCTTGTCCAGTCTAACTTCTCTTTCAACTAACCCACCTTAGTGCAGCCCTTCACTCAAATCCAATGCTATGCTACCCTCAGCACTAAACAGTGTAATTCCTTTGTGGGATTTGAACTCTGTTTATGCTCCTTACTGGAAGCACCACCAGCACCAACAGAGTGTAATCTTTCATACAAAAGAAAAATGGCTGAGGCCCGTAGGGTAACTCATGTTGTTAATAGGAGAATTGAAAATCTTGTGCCTCTGCCCTTCTTCACAATATCTGGAAAATATGCAAGATTATGGATAAATTCATTGCTGATGTAGTTCCTGTTCTTCATCTCCATGGTTCCACTAT